CCCACGATGGTAGGCTCACCTGATCGTCCGCACCAGCGATAGGGGGGCTCCACTCTTCATCGGAACATGTCGAGAAGGGAGGTGCAGCCCTCACAGCCCGCACCCCTGCCTCCCCTGCCATCTCCATCCCTCCCCTGTCACCTCCCTCCTCCCCCTGCACTCCCTCTCGAAGAAGCTGGAATACACAATTTTTCTGATTCGGTGTTTCGACATCGAGCTGAAGGATGGGGGAGGGGGGGTCTGGCTCCGAGCCTCTGCTTCATGCGACTGTTTGCAACAGCGCGTCCTATGGGGGATACCCCACCCGCTCGAAACAGGCGCCAAAAACAGCCAGGATTTACTCCGTGAGGGGGGAGGGGGGGGGGTGCGAGGGCCCGCGCCGATCGGCAAAACAAAGAATACGAAAACGATCACATCGGCGACTGGAATCCGCGCTCCTCCCCCTGCGCTCCCCTATTCCTCCTCCTCCTCTCCTCCTCCTCCTCCTCCTCCTCCTCCTCCTCCTCCTCCTCCTCCTCCTCCTCCTCCTCCTCCTCCTCCTCTCGAATACGCCATCGGCGAATGGAATCCGTGCTCGACTGCAGGCGTTAGAACAGCCTCTGCGTGCCGACGTCGCAGGCGACGGCGCGCGTGCGCTCTGCGTGCCGACGCGCGGTCGTCACGCAGAGCGTGCTGCGCTGCTACGAGTCCACCTCGCCACGACATGGTCTACGGCAAGGGGCCCAACCACAAAAAACCTTCCACGAGAAACTCAACCCTGAGACCCCAGGACGCCCCTCGATTTCCGGTGTGGGAACGTCACGCTTTCCATCGCAAAACCATCGAAACCCAGGAAACCCAGGGCACCCTGGAGGCGAGCAGGCTGTTTCTTGGCATGGGCCTCCACTGCACTCGCCGATGGCGTGCCTGCGCACCCTGCGGCCCTCCCCTGGACCAGCTCGTCCCGAGCTGTCGTTGGACCGCCCCGGGGGCCTGGGAGGCGGGGGCCCCGGCGGCCCGAGGGCGGGGGGGGAGAGAGGCCAGGACCCGGGTCCGTCACGACGCCTTGCCTCCAGGGCGCGTCCTCGAAATCCGCTGAAAATGCTGCCCCTGGGCCCGCTCCTTCGAGCCACGCCCAGCCGTGGCGACGAGGAACGCCCCTGGGGGCCCCCAAGTGGCTCCAGCCTCGAGCCTCGCTCCTACAGCCAGAATGGCTCGAGCCTCGAACCCCCCCCCCGTGCTCCAGGGGGGGTCCAGTCCTCAAGCCCAAGAGAGGGGCCGAGGCCCCGCCCCCTCACCTCCTCCTCCTCGTCCTCCTCCTCCTCCTCCTCCTCCTCCTCCTCTCCTCCTCCTCCTCCTCCTCCTCCTCCTCCTCCTCCTCATCATCATCATCATCATCATCATCATCATCATCATCATCATCATCATCATCATCATCATCATCATCATCATCATCATCATCATCATCATACGCAGCATCATCAGCATCATCATCACAATCATCATACGCATCATCCTCATCATCATAATCAGCATCATCATAATCATCATCATAATCATAATCGTTATCATCAGAATCCGCATCATCCTCGTCATCCTCAGAATCATCAACATCATCAGCATCATCATCATCATCATCATCATCATCATCATCATCATCATCATCATCATCATCATCATCATCATCATCATCATCTTCATCTTCATCTTCATCTTCATCTTCATCATCATCAGCAGCAGCATCATCATCCTAATCAGAATCATCATCAGTATCATTGTCACCATCACCATCATCAGCACCGTCACCATCACCATCATCATCATCATCAACATCAGCAGCACCATCAGCATCATCATTATCATCAGCATCAGCATTATCATCATCAGCAGCTTCATCAGCTGCATCATCATCATCATCGTCATCATGAACATCGTCACCGTCACCATCAGCATCACCATCCCAATCACCGTCTTCATCATCACAACCACCATCGGCAACATCACCATCACCATCATCAGCATCGTCATCATCATCACCATCACCATCACAATCCTCAGCATCATACCAACCACCACCATCAGAATCAGCATCAGCACAATCAGCATCGTCATCACCACGAGCATCATCATCATCAGCATCAGCATCAGCAGCATCAGCATCACCATCACCACCAGAATCATCATCATCGTCACCAGCGTCAACAGCAGCAGCTGCATCAGCATCATCACGAAGTACTACGCGAGCGCCAACGACAACGGTCAGTTGAGGATGGTGGTATGGATACGGCACGACATGGTGCGCAGCGGTCGGGTGCGGCCATGCCCGCTGTCCCTTCGGCTGCTCTACGTCCTTCTGGATTCAGGCGATGAAAACATGTTTTGATTCGCGGGTCCAGAGCGCACCTCTTCCGGTCGAAGCAAGACCATTCAGGCATTCATCTGGGCGTTCGTTCATCCAGGATGCCCTCGCTCCGCAGCGATCTAGATTTTGACAGCAACTCGGCAAGTGTATCGGCGGTACGCCGAAGTGCCTGTATATTGCGACGGGCATCGACGCGAACGGCAGGGTTGGAACGGTTCTGTCCCGGACCATTGCTTCCAAGATGACCGAGGAAGAGTTGCCCAATGGTACGGGGCTCCGAATGCTGATGGAAAAGAACAGCTTACTGGCGTTCTCCACTTGGGCCTCTGGGAACCAGCTTACTCGGCACAGCCGACGCAACCAAGCCTTAGGTGGTCATATTGATGATACGTGGCGCGCGTGCGCTCCACTACGTGGAAAGTAAGGTACTTCTATGTCCATCACCGACGCCAGCTCTGTGGACCACCACGGAGTGTTCCCTGAGCTCACACTACCGCACCAGGTTCCTTTCGAGAACGAAGCGACGGCCATACTCTGCATTCCCTCCACTCTTGATGCTACTTAAATAGATCGATGCCAGGAGCTGATGTGGCAGGGTTTGCGCACAGTCGATACGTCCATGGTGACGTGCCCAAACGAGACCTACGCGCTGGTGGAGACGAATCTGGCTGAGGCACAGGAGGCGTATTTTTCAACGCCGCGACACCCACAGCACGTTCCACCAAACCTTGGTTGGCGAACGCCACCACAAACCCGGCCCACGCGATGCACGCTGTGCGAAAAATAAACATCGGCAGGCGCAGAAACATTTCCGGAAGGCTATTTGACGGCATGTCTTTGGAGCATGGCGCCAAGTGGTCCCACGTGAACTTAATGCACTATGTGGAATGGGGTGTGAATAGCGCGAAGCGTTGCTCGCGGTTCCGCTTCGGGCCCACAGGCCCCTCGTCCAGATGCGCGCGAAGACCGATCTCAACGGGCATGCCACTACCATCTCCGAGGAGGCTCGGGCCCACTACGACAACGGCGAATTTCGCCTAAATCTTGTTCTGCACACTCGTTTACTACGGCATGCCCAGACGAGCCCTTACCGACATTCCGACGCGGCGATGGCAACGTCACGGCCGAACCGCAGGAGGTAAAGGAACTTTGGGCGGCCCATTGGTGCAAGGCGCACAGAGGCGCGACGATCAATCTCGGTGCCTTGGCCCGTAGATTGGCGGCCACACCTGTGCCAAGCACGACCCCTCGGACGCCGCCATTCCCCGTCGCCGACGCGGAGGCCATCAGGTCGAAACTACCTCGCTTCACGGCCATCTTTGGGCGAGCTGCGCGCGCCTGCGTCAAGGTAGGCGGCGACCCCGCGACTCTTTATTAAGTCGGCGGCGCAAAGGATCCTAGGGCGCGAGCAGCACGTGCAAGTGCCCCTTGCGATCTGACGTTGTCGACCCGGCGACTCCACTCATCAAGCGCGTCCTCGATGCCAGGCGCCGAACCAGACGGATTGCCACCGCCTTTACAAACGGGAGGATCCAGGAGTTCTCCAAGGGCAAGGGCAACAGGGAGCTCAACGACAACCGTCGTGGCATCATGATCCAGCTTGTCCTGGGGAAAACACAAATTGGGCTTCTTCGGCGCGAACTGGATCCTACGTACCACAAGTGCGCTGGAGACAACCGGTGTGGACCCTGTGCGGATCGTGGCACCCACGCGACAGCGATGGTTCGTGCCTTGTTCTCTGACGTCATGCTCACTGCTGGTTTGTCCGCGGCGCGCTTGCATGTTGATCTCAGCAAAAATTTTGACGCGGTGCGCCGACAGGTATCATTGGGGCAGAGCGCCATGGCAGATGCCGACATCGGAGAGAGCGTGATCCACCGCCGTTTTTCCGTGGAAAATTGCCCACCTTTTCCTCCGGAACCCGGGGGTCTCCCCCCCCCCCCCTCCGAAAATCCCCCCCCGCTGCTGGAACCCCTCCCCCCCCCCCCCCCCCCTCCCGGCAAACCCCCCCCCTCCCTAACCCCTCCCCCCCCCCCCCCTCCCCCTCGAAAACCGGGGGGGGTCACTACCGGTTCGAACCCCTCCCCCCCGGGGGGGGTCATTAGGGGTTGGACCCCCCCCCCCCCCTCGAAAACCGGAGGGGGGTCACTACCGGTTCGACCCCCCCCCCCCCCACGCACCGCCAGCAAACGACTCCCGGTCCCTACCACCGCTCGCATGACATCCCCCACTGTTGTTCCCAGCACCACTGTCCTCACCACCACTGCCCCCGCTGGTTCCACCACCGTCCCTATTGTCCCCACCAGTGCCCCCACCACTGTCGCACTGTCCCCACTGTTCCCACAACTGTTCCCACCACGGTTCCACTCTCCCCACTGTCTCCACGGACCCAACCACTGCCTATCCCCACTGTCCCCACTGTCCCACTGACTCCTCCGCTGTCCCACTGAGCTGTCCCACTGTTCCCACCACTGTCCCCACTGTCCCCACCACTGTCCCCACTGTACCTCTGTCCCATTGTCCCACCGCCGTCCTCGCCACCGCCTTTACCAGTGTCCCCACCACCATTGTACCCTCCACTGTCCCAGTGTTTCCACCTCATTCCCACTGTCCCCACACCACTGTCCCCACCACCACCGTTCCCACCACTGTCCACTGT